GGGAGAACCAAACATACTGGAGCTCCTCCACTTGGGAGCAGAAACTATTCCCAAGCTGGAGTGGGCAGTCCAGCCTTTCCTGGCTGAGAACCACTGCCTCAGACTAGGATGTGCTAATTCTCCACATGAAAACACAGCCATACTCAGTATGCTAATACTTTTTATACGGTCTCTGAAAAAAATGCCCTCTTGTGTTTCCAGCAAGTGAACAGGGGGATTCATCCTGTACGTTTGTGTACAAAGTTGCAAAGTGAAGTGAATTAATAAAGCTAACGATGGGGTAAATTAGCATTAGCAGCTTTAATAAAAGGTGGAGAGGGCATCCACGGTGTCACAAATGTGAAGAAAAGCTCCATGCTCGTCTGACAAAGCTCTGACTCACTCCATCTCATCCATTAGGTGTCTGCATAAAGCTGAAGAGCACAATGGAGTCTGCTAATGCATAGATAACCCAGAGGTCCCTCGCTCTCAGCTTCCCTCTTTCTCCCTTTTTAGCATCTTCTGTACTTTCCCACTTTTTGCTGCCTCCTTCTTCTTCCACTCGTCTCCCAACGTCTCTGCTTTCCCACATTTATGAATTTTAGCTGATGTGTTATCTCTACAGAGATATTGCAGAGGTTTCCAGCCTTTTCCACCGGTTAGAGATCTTAACTCCTGGTCATTAAGATCAACCTGGAGCCAGGAGCAATGAAAGATGGATTGCATGAAGATGCGATCACTTAAAAGGGGGAAGATGATTAAAATTTCTTCTCTGCCTATTAAATCTCACGGACCATTAATGGTGTTAGATTTATTCTTCATATTCTGGGATTTATGACTGTTTTATGACCTTACGCTCTCCAGTCACTTCTGGGAAATGTGTTGATCTGAGATAATAGTCCAGTGTGGTTTTGTGTGGAAAAGACAAAGATATTGATTCACAAGTCTTATTCTCATACACGTTTTAGATGCCTGTGAACAAATGCACACAAAACAATCTTTTAAAGGAATTCTTCATGGAAATACACAAACACACTCATTTGTAGCTAAGACAAATTAAACTTTCACGGTGCTCACGAACAACAACATATTTTTTTTCCAAAAGTTGCATCTCAGCTGCTCTAGATGATCCAGAGTCATGAGGGTAAAGACTTCGATAGAAAGTAAATCTGTTAAATGAAAATACACAGATTGGAAAGAGAGGCTCTTTTAAATGTCTCTCGTCTGAAGGTAACAAACTGACTGCCACTCACCTCCTTTGTAGCAAGGTGAAGGCATTAATGCAAATCTCAACCCCTGAGCGCATGAAAGCCACACGTCTGCATGGTGAAGTCCCACTGTGAGAACGTGGGACTTGTTTCTGTGGTCAAGTGAGACAGGAAACAGACTGTTGTCACCTCAATGACATTTTTCTGATTGTTTACAAAAGTGCCTGAAAAATACAAATGCTGAATTGAACTTCATTAGCTTCCTCTTACAATATGACATCATGTTTTTGGAGTTTAATAACTACAAACTACTCGCTGCACTTTTCCTAGTCTGTACTTCCAGGACGTGTTTCCGTATTTCAGATTAGATCAAAAACACGAAGCGTCCTGAACCTTGGTTGTGTTAATGTGATTATACACGAAACAGTAGATAAAACCTCGAGAGCAAAGTTATCATAGATTGCTTTTTCCAGCCTATTAGTTTAGTTTCACCGCTGTTCCTTTCAGTTTACTTCTTATCTTCAACAGAAAGCGTTTGGTTTTAATGTTCATTGTGAATCTGCTCGTGCTGACAGAAAGAGTCAAAAACTAAAACATTCCCTCCACAATTGTATTTAATCTCAGATTCTTTAGTTAAAATATCCTTTTTAAGGGTTTTTCTGTCAGTAGTTAGTCTAGTTTTGGTCACTCTACTAGTTCTAGTTATGAGTGGATCTGGCCATCTCGCACAGAGAGGGGCAGCCAATCAGAAGAGAGCGTCAGAGAAGCTACAAGTGCTTGTGTTAGACAGTGGATGCACTCACTGTGGTCCAGTACAATGTAAATACGGATTATATTTAAATATGAATCATGAACACCTGTTCTAGAAGAGTCCAAGAATAAAACGATGGAGGAGGATATGAACATAACTCCCCCATTTTAACACTGTTAATACTACTGCAAAGGGCTGTTAGCCTTCCCTGCATTATGATCAATCATGTCCCCATTTAAAATTCCAACGCTAGTAAAAATAAATTCTTATTGACCTTCATGGTTAAAGAATATTCTGTGACTTCACTCGATAGTTGTTCTGTCTAAAAATCACAAAAACAAATTTCAAAATCACAAAGTCAGTTAGTGCCACACACAGTGCAACACCACTGAAATACACACCACATATGGCTCCCTACAAACACACAGACACACACACTCAGAAAAATTATGGTTCTTAAATGGTTCTTCAGATGTCTTCATGGTTCTTTAAAGAACCATCATACGTCAAAGAACCTTTTTATTTTGTGGATGGTTCTTCAGCTATTACAAATGGTTCTTTAAAGAACAAAAGGTTCTTCATCCTTAGCAATCTAAGTTTGATGGTGTAAATGGCATAAATATTTACTCACTATAATGAGGCTGTGAATTATACTGTGTGTTTTCTTTGTGTGCATGTGTGTGCGAAGGGAGAGGGCGGGATACCTGGCAATTACCCTTTAAGAGAAGATGGTAGGAAACTGAATATTCAAATAAAAGTTAGAAATATTTGCTTAAAAATATACTGGTGGCAGGGGTGGGGGGGAAAGCCTAAAGACCCTAACCCCCCCCCACACACACACACACCTAACCCCGCAAACCCATTATGAATATGGTGAGTTAACAAACAGTAGACACAATACACACATTCAAATACTGTACTTTAGTTTTAATTTTAATAAAGCATTACTATTTTCTACTCCAAGGCATTACTTTTGAGATTATTATATATTTTTGAAAATATAGCATAATGATAATACTAGTTATTGTAAACTTTACAAACCACCCAGCAGTATGTAAAGTCAAATTATAAAATACAAGTAAATAACAACTGCAGAACAGAATGTCAGTGTAATGAACACACACTTCGTTTTGACAAAGCACAGCTTAGGTAAATGATCTGAGTAGTTGTTCATCACTGAGCAATTTGTTAATGTGTGTTTCGAGCCAAATAAATGACAGGGAGAGAGAGAGTGACGTCAGAATACGTCATACTATAACCTCCCGGGAGCGGACGGAGGAGGTCAGTCGTTGGGATGCGCATGCGCAGACGAGCGGCGGGCCTTGACTTTCGGGGAAAAAACTCACGGACTATTAAAAAAATATATATATTACTGTTTAAAACACTAATGTGACATGTATTAGTAGTGATGTTGTGCTGAGGGTTAAAATGCCTTTTTGTAACTACAGAATGACAATAAACCATTAATATATGTCTATGCTGTGCTCGTGTTTATTTTGCCCTACTCAAATTCAATTTATGATGCATTTTATTTTGAAAGATTTAAAATGTTTTTTTTAAAGAACCACTCAAAAAAGGTCCTTCAAATGGTTCTTTAAAAGAACCATTTGAAGGACCTTTTTAAAAATGGTTCTTTAAAAGAACCATTTTTAAAAAAGTTCTTTGAAAAACCATTAAAGGTGCCCCAAAGAACCATTTCTTGATGGTTCTTTGGGGCACCATTAAAGGTTCTTCAATGAACCACTGAAAGAAATGGTTCTTCAAAGAACCATTGTTTGAAAGGTTCTTTGTGGCACCAAAAAAGGTTCTTCTATGGCATCAGTCTAAAGAACCACTTTTGGTTCCAGTTGGCACCTTTTTTTTCTGAGTGCAGTGCAACACCACTGAAATACACACCACATATGGCTCCCTACACACACACAGACACACACACAGCTGCTGGATCATCAGCCGTGGAAATCCAGCCTGTGCGGCCACAGATAAACCGTGGGTGACTCAGCGCACCGTTCAGACCAGCAGGACCTGCAGGAGCAGCAGGAGCTGCGCTTGCAGTTGTGCCCCGGCAGATCCTAAAACAACTAATCTGAGAGAATGCTCTTAATCCGATTTGGACTTTCTGCCACGGCTGCAGCAGATTTCAGGATTGGAACTATTACCTGGCCCATTGCACCATTTAAGAAATGTTATTGTGACACAGATAAACAAATTGACTGGTTACGGGGAACGTAAAGAGGTCAAGAGTAGGCAGGGACATTTGTAGGAAGGGGTGAGAGGACAGGAAGTGAGAACCGGCCGATAAGAGCCGTGAGAAATTCCCCAAGAAGTTTAAAACTGATTCAGAATGAACGATGTCAGCTGTGGAAAAAATCCCTCTGTTGGTCTTGAATCTTTTATTACATGAGCAATTTTTTATCATCCCGGAGTGATATAACTGGCAGGATACAGTAGTGTGTTATGAAAGGAGGCAGATGGACAAAGAGGAGGGCAACAGGAGAGAGGAGGCGACAACAGGTGTGTGTCAGGACGCTCACATTAAACACAGCATCACAAAAACATCATGTAAAAACTCGCTTTTTCATCATAATCACATTCGGGTTTTTAGTGAAGTTGTATTGTGATGGTTTCTTTTCATTGTCCAGTAAGCAGTGCTCTCTATAATGGTTATTCTGGGCACAGTGTTTATGTCTAATCAGTGAAGTTATTATCGGGTACCTCAAACATGTGAGCGCAGGGCTGTGTAACTTCATGCAGAACTGTCAGGTTTACTGGCGCCGGCATTTAAAACTCTTCATACATGTTTGGTTTATAATCAAAAAAGGCTTTCATGAAGGTGAGATTGTATTTCTGTTGTTTTAGTGTATTTTTTAGTATTTCTGTCAATTTTTATTATTACTAGCAAAGCCCTACATGCTGCTTTGGTGTTAGGCCAGGATCTATATGCAGGTAAACTGGCCAGAAAAACACTGATTGTGATTACATAATACATTTGTTAGATACCATATTGTCACCAATATAAATATGCAAAATGAAGAATATGTTAAAATTAAAATCAGATTTAATATTCATACTGTCGCTGTTATCCTCATATTGTTCTCATCATATTTTCCAGACTTTAAGCATTTTTGTAGCTGGTTATTTGATCATCAGACACTTAGATTACAAATTTGCATCGACTGTTACAATATGTTGTGTAACGAATGTAGCACGCACACACTCAACTTCAACAAACGTCCACATTTGTAAAGTCACCGATTAGACGATTATCGGATTTATATCAAATATTTACGTCTGTCACATGGATGTGAGCGCTCACGGTGCCCTAACCAAGGTTTATGTAAGGTTTCATCAGGATTGATGGAAAACACAAACATGCACACACCCATGTGCTACAATCATTATAGTCTTAGTTTTATCATAAATACTAATAACACAAGTGCTCTTAATGCACATTTAAGATAATCCAGCGCTGTATGCAATAATACAGTGATGAAGACGACCCCACCTCCTGTAATTTACACCTATGGCTGTACTGTGATGATGTCACATATCAAGAGCTTGAGGAGGGAGTGGGTGGGGGTGTGACGCCACTCCTCCACGCTGCACCCACAGGGTAAGGGTTTGAAGGGTTCGATCCTGTGAGGAACGGCGTGATGACACGCCACTCCAGATTTGGTTTTATCTTTGAAATTCTCTTTGTCTTAATCTCTGCTTCCTCACATCTGCTGGAAGAATCAGAACTCCTGCTGCTGGAAAACAACACGATGTTATCTCTCGTTGCTTCTGTTCTTTAGGAAACCTTATCGAATGCAGACTGCAGAGCACACCGATCGAGGAGGTGCAGTTCTCTCTCTACAACAGTCTCACTGAAATTCTCCCAAATATTAAGTGGGGAAACGTTGCACCCCTCACATCCATTACTGGTTTCTTTCCCACCATCAGATCAGCTGAGCTTATCATTGCTACTGTTTCCATCAGTGGCTCAAGCAGCTTTCTTTTAATTGGAAATAGATTTGTACCTGGGGCTAAACGCTCACGTGGGTGACATCTCTTCAGCAATCACTCTCTGCGTCGCTTATGTCCTTCACAGTGGGGGAAAAAAATCACACCCCTGATCAAGGTGCATTAAAAGCCTGGAAAGAATATTACACCAGTGCAGAGCAAAGCGTAGTGCACATACATCGGCTGAGGCTGGGGCCGGGATTGGATGTGTGGGAGACGGAGGGAAACCTGGACGCTCCCATGACATTCCCCAAACCTGTACAGGTTATTTAGTTTGATGCGACCCCAAAATGAAAGAATGTGCCTCAAACATTCATTGAAAACATCGAATGTGTGAATCCACAAAGAATATTGGAGAAAAATGAAAGGTTTTCACACAAAAGGGACATTACGCCCTTAATGATGCGCTCAGTTCTGCAGTATTAATTCCCCCACTGGCTCTGGCTGTACAGCTGAAATTCTGCAGAGTGTTATGCAGCTGACATTGTGTCATCATTGATCTGGTCGCTGTTAAGCTGCGTTGACACCTGTGCGAATCCATTGGACATGGACCCAGGGAAAGCAATCTAGCACGGCCACACAAGCTCCTTACTTTATCCAAGTGAGGAAACAGAAAAAAGAAGTGTTGAACTGCAAAATAGCTGTACGTGTAGCAGCGCGGGGGCAACAGATAACACGTAAACCTGCTGTTTTACAAAACAGACCCCCATTAATATGCATATATATGAATAAACAGCAAGAAATCTTAATGAATATTTACAGAGAGGCTCTAAAAAGCCTGTAAACGCTTTAATCGGTTCAATCTTTAGCGTAGGCAGCAGAAATCCTAAAAGCAGTTTCAGATGATTACAGGCAGGATGCTCGTAACGCACTGGCAGCAGATCCTTTTTTCTTTTTTGCTTCTTTACAAAAATAAAAGAAATTGCAAATGAAATCGTGACATGCTTTGGCAATAAAACGAGTTATAGATTTAACCTGTTTCAGATCTAAAGTAACATGGAGTCAGGTTTAGAAATGGGATTACTTTCACGCATGATCTTTAAACACCAATACACTGAGACGGGGGGGTCATTCCACCTATTAGTTCAGTGGCACTGATATACCTCTAAAACAGTTAAAACAGCGCCTCTGTCCTGTAGCCATCTGTCATCAAACATCCCCCTCGTGTGCACACATTTATCTGGGAATGGCACATTAACCACCCATTTTCTTCCTGTCTCTGCGAGGATCGTCTTTACTGATAATGGCCAAAGATTATGCACATTCATTACCATTATCATTAGAATCATCATTATCACGCGCTTTCAGCTGATTTTCTGGAGGTTTTTCTGTAGCACGGTTTGAAAGTGAAAAACAGCTTCTTAATATTAATGTTTTATTCAGTCAGATCAAACTAACCTGCTGGTGCTGTTTTCTCTTTTTTTTAAAAACACAAAAAAACAGGAAAAATTGTTTATTGATTTCTTCTCCATCTCAGTCATCTGTGTTGATTTGACCACTTCTGCATTGTTAGCTGTGTTAGGTTAAAATCACGTCAGCCCAAAAGCTGCTGAGTGACTAAGTGCTTTCTCCACACGATCTGGGACTCTCTCTCTCTCTCTGGTTAATTAAGTAGTAATCAGGTGTGGTGTCTTTACTGCTGATGATAACTGTGCTACCTTTAGAGCCGTGGGGACACAAACTGGGTAATGGAAAAGATTGCTTCAGGTGAAGGAGGATTATTCACAGGATTACCTCTTAAGTCAAAATCAAAACCACAGAGCCAAAGAGAGACAAAGTAGAAAGGAAAAGGCAGATGTAGGAGGTGAATCCTGACGGTGGTTGCCTTAAACAACAATATTCCCCCAGGATTAATGCACAATGCATGGGACACACAACAAGTCCTTTCCTAATTAACTATTGTCTCCTTTAAATAATCCAGGAAGTCCAACAACACAATCTCTCTACACAGGTAGACTCGCATAAATAAAGTCACATTCGAGCGCTTGCTTACCTGGATGTGTGAAGATGTTTCTCACAGTCTTTGCCTTCTGTGGCTACTGCAGAGTTTGGGTGGCTCAGCTCGTATCCTTAGGCTCGGGGTTTCAACAACTGAGTGCATGCCTCCTCTGAGGCTTCTTATAATGGCACACCCCTTCCCTCCTGGCTCAGCCCTCCAGTTCCCCCTCACCTCCCTCCCTTCTCCTGTATATCACCACTCGCATCACCGTAGAGAGCTAGAGAAAGGGGTGGATTCCCCCATTCAGTTACGCACAAACCCCCAGCCATACACACAAACGGTTGGCCCGCGCTGACGCAGGAGGTATTGCCTACGACACCAATTTCATCTTCATCGAGCCAACTGATGAGGCTCTAAAAATATGCATCATCATAAGATTTATCCAGAAGCTCCATATCTAAGGTGTCCATAAAGCCAACGGCCTCGACACCAGCTTCCTGCCGAGGTCAGGGAGACGACGGCACTTTGGATGATTTTTTGACTATGACTTAGAAAAGCAGCGTCACGGATGGAGGGAGAAGGTCACAGGTCGATAAAGTTGTTTAAGCTGGAAAAGAGTAACATAACAAGCCTTTTGTTGGTGGCAGTGGGGCCTTGAACAGTATATTATTTTATGGAACAATGACCAGGGTAAGGCAGTCGACAAGCAGAGCGTGCAGCCAATCAGGGCCTAGAGACAGGTATGAGTCATGGCAGATTGGGGCTGGAGCAGGGGGTTGAAGGTTTGTCCCACGGTGCTGAGAGCTTTCTTTTTTCTCTTTTAATTTATGTCGTGTGTTTTGATAAGGTGATAATGATGTCGACAGAAAGAAGAACAATGACATAAAAAGACTGAAACTGGGAAAATTCAATATTGTGGCTGATCTGAAGCAGACGATGTGGCCAGAGGTGACTGGCTGTACTAAAATTGTCCATGGAGCTCCACTGGGTGGGTGTGGTGTGACAGGTTTAAGTTACTCTCCCATTAAACTGACCCACACACTGTAATTTGAAAAAAGAAAATGGTGGTTTGAAGTAAATATTAACTTCCAAGAAGAAGAAGAAGAAGATGGTTCCAGTGGGAATTCTAATAATGTGATGCTGTGCATGAAATGCTGATAATGTTTACCATGTAATGGTTTAACATAAAGACATTTAGCTGTGGCAAATTACAATGACATTTGTTTTGCAAATGTTTGCCTAGCAAACCAATTTTGATCTGATCCTGGTGTCGGATAGAAAGTTACTGAATCATGTCTGAGTCCCTGCCTTCAAAGAGAGTGACAGGAAACTGTGCGCCAAGAAGATGTAATAATAACAATAATCGCTAATCGCTATGCTAGCTATAGACAAGATAGGATGGATATATTCTCAGGATCAATACTGTGGTTCACACAGGACCGCTCCTAGACTCACGTTTCCATTTGCAGTAATGTGTAGGTGTTCTTGGTTCTCCTCTCCCATCCATGGGCAGATGTATAGGCACGGGAAGCACCAGCAAGACCCCAGGAGGTGGGAGGAGCTGGGGCAGAGGTGGGTTACAAAGTGGCTTGCAGATGTGCACAGACTGTGTGCAGGCTAAATCAACTGAAATAATATGAGATATATGTATATCCTGTGTGAGGCATCACTTTGTGAGTTTGTGTTTACTCCGTAATGAAAGTCATCTTGTTGAATGCACTTAGGCCAGAGGGGCCGATATGGCAGCCTCGCTTCTGTCTGCCCCAGGGCAGCTGTGGCTGCAACTGTAGCTGCCTCCACCAGTGTGTGAATGTGAGAGTGAATGAATAGTGGCATTGTAAAGCGCTTTGAGGGTCTCAAAAAGCGCTGTATAAATGCAATCCGTTATTATTATTATTACTTAGGTTCAGGCTCAATGTCGGTCTTTAGCAAAGAGTAAATAATGGGGACGTTCCACTCTCACAGCAGTGATCACCTGGCCATGATGAATGTGCAAAGCATATTTTGTGATAATCCATCAAATTGCTGTTGAGATATTTCACCAACTCTGACTTTTGATGGACAGAGGAGGGGCCACCAAAGTCAGGTAGGTTAATCCATCCTGTAACTGTTAGTGCTTCATTCTGGTTATATGTTATGTTTTCTACTGGTAAGACAAATTCCCAGGGCTGTTTTAAATAGTGGGGCCAAATGTTAGAGTTCAGTAGCAGCTGATTATGAACACAATAATTTTGTCTATAAATACATTTCATTGAAGAAAATGACTTTTTTCTTCTTTTTCTGAAGTTCAACACCTGAACTTCCTTTCACGTTGAGCTGCTCTTAGCCTCAGCTTCCTTTGAAAATGTGAAGGCTGACTCTGAACCTGTGTGAGGTCTGATAGTGATGGATGAATTGGGTCTATAGACAGAGCCCTGGGTTAGACTGAGATAAGGAGCCTGGAAGAGCAAGCAGCCTTTTGCAGGGTCTGTCTGTCATTGATATCGTTGTGATCCACCAGCTGTTCAGTGCACATAAACGCCTCCTGTGGTGGCCAAGAAGCAGCGATTACCTTGATGACAAAGAAGGCCAAGCTTGGCACCACATCACATTAAAACCTTAGAAGTCTTTTCTATGTATTGATTTTGATTTGGAAATTTGAAGCCAGTAAAATGAAGCGATATAGGATTTCATCTTACGCGGTGTGTTTGTCCTCTCATGTACACTGCTGTGCTTTTTGAAGCTCTTTTTTTATTCACATTGTCTACAAAATAAATTATTAATTTGTACATACTATTATTTCCTCAGATGATGTGATGTATGCAGTATTTCTGATTTGGAGTAGAGCCAAGTCAGCTCCAGTACTGAAAGAAACCAATTTTATCACTTATTAAACAACAAGGATTAGGAACATAAATAACCCTCCTTAGAAATTGGTTATTGGTGTGGAAACAGCCATAGCTTAGCATTGAAGCTATATACAGTACAGTATAATACAGTATATGGGAGTGATTAGTGCAATAACAGTTGGTTGTTTTATGATGAGTTGCAATGAGATATTGATTGATTGATGTCCACATGCACTCATCATGGGCATGAATGTGGTGATAATTTGGGGCTTTTAATGTTTTCTTTGCACTGTTCTTTTTCCACAATGATTGTACAGCATCTTTAATTACTTTTTACTGTTGACCCCCCCACACAGAGTCGAGGGCTCACCATCCACCGGAAACTGCTGGAAAAACTAACATCAAGTTTTACACCACCAGGGAATGAGCTGGCTATGAAGAAGCCACTGCTCCAGAACTGACACCTTCAAGCTTGACTGACATTTACAGCTGCCCACACGAACAAGACAAAGACCTTCCTGAGAAAAGCTTTATAGTCACACAAGCAAATATTAATCAATTTGGCCACAATGACAATAAGTATGTTTCGAGGCTTTCGAACATAAGAACACGCTACCAACTGTCAGGCATGGAGGTGGTAGCATCATGCTCTGCAGCTGGTTTGCTGTCAGTGGTGCTGGTACACTGCACAGGATGGTTGGAATAATGAAGAAGGAGCACAATCTCCGAAATCTTCACCTCAAGTCACCAGCTAGACAACTGAAGACACAGTTGTTCCTACAGGACAGCGATCGCAAACACACATCAAAACTGGATATGGCCTGGATAAAGCAGGCATAAACGAAGCTTCTGGAACGGTTTTCCTTAAGCCCTGACCTCAAACCTACTGATGTTTGTGGATTATAGTGAGCTCTGTGCCAGGAAACCACGTCCAATAATTCTTCTATTCCCGAAGGTTGTCGTTCGCAGCCAAAATAAATACACTTTGTTTTTTTAAAATAACAAAACATCATCATCACCTCCCAACCCGAGCTTATAAATGTTCACATAAAATGCATTTGTTTTCATTAGGACAAACATTCACTTTCAATTCCTGCACAAGAGCACGTTCAGATGACTTCTTCGAACACCGAGGGAAATATTCGGTGTTAAAAAGGGCAGATGGCGTTAATAACTCCCAAAAGACTCTCACAGACAGAACCAAGGCCACCACAGGCCAAAGTCACTAAAAGCACAAAGAAAATGTGGCGTGAGCATACTTCATGAAGCACTGAGAAACATTTCACCCACCAGGGTGAAAGGTCAAAGTCTACAAATACACACTTTTGGAGCCAGCCTCAGGTGGCCGTTAGAGGACCTGCAGTTTTTGGCTGTACCACGCTTCACGTGTCTGAACCAAAATACTTTGACCTACAGCAATTTGAGGAAAAAGAAATGACCTCGTTGTCACCCCAGTACAAATAATGGTCTCCACCTGGACACCCCTGTCAAAAATGTCTGGCTTCGTCACTGATAGCTGTGGCCAGAGCTGACCGATGTATGGCTCGTTCATCTCAAGTCAAGCTCCTCCTTCCTTTTTCATCTCATCCAGCGGAGGTGTTTTACCGTCCTCCTTTGCAATGAAACTCAATGATGTGAAACCAAAGGAGGGGGGAACTCTGGGGTGGTTTATGGCAACTCGAGGTTTTCACCTGTCAAGGCACAACTGATTGTTATTAACAGCAGGCCGGAAAATGAATTTTTGCCTGGAAAAGAATTGCATTTCCACCCCAAAAGCCATCGTAATTTTGTGCGGAAGAAGAATTACATCTCAGCTCAGGAAAAATGTGCAGTGTCAACCACCAAATCCTCAGAAAACTTTTATTTCGGGGCGTAAGCATTCACGAGGACATATTTCATTTGTTTGTCTGTATTTATCTCATTGCATAACTCCATCCAGATCACTTTGTTTCAGTCCTGCACAGCTACAAAAGGAGTATTTGAAACCAAGCAAGTGTTCTTTCCTCACGGCCACTATATGCAATCAGCCCAGTGCCAGTAGAAAGACATTTGCTTTACGCAATAAAGACATGAGGATGATGGCAGACGTTTCAATGAAAGGCTGGCTTACGGAGGAGGGAAACCATTATTTGTCAGAGTGACGGCTGTGAAATTGAGTACGGGAAGCTGAGAAGATGTTTACCGATGTTTACTCTTCATGTGGGGAAGCTCGGGATAGACCTCGGGATTAAATTCAAGGGTTTTGACCTCAATCAAGGAAATAATTACTCTTGCCCCTCTGGTTGGTGGACTGCTTAATTAGCAAGCAAAGCCCCCACAGAAATTCCATTAGAGTGAAAGCAGAGGTGATTAAAACTATAATTCTTATTAGACTCATTAGTACCTTTTTGGGGATGCCTGGCATTATTGAATGTGCTGGGAAATTGAATTCATGATGCTTTGTGTGGATTCAGCACGCCCTGTACGGTGTCTTCATCCAGCTATGTAACAAAACAAGTCATATGACAATAGAATAAAGGGCAGAAGTGAAGTGTGACTCACTCCAACTTGCTCAAGTTATGAAGAGTATTCATGATTGGCATCACTGATAAAAGCTATGGATCGCATACACATGCACTTCTGAGCTGCTCTTTTCTTTCACTGTGTGCTTCATTGCAGTGAATCACTATGCTTCCTATTATATTCTCCCCAAAGAACAAAATGCACACACACACCTGCTGTTATCTGTCATCACCACAGTTGCCATGCCTCCGCCAAAAACAGTCGATACTGATGTAGCACCCACTCACTCTACAAGAGTGTATAGGTGTGTGTTTTGTTCACAGGCTCTTTTGTGATTAAATGGAACTGCAGCAAAAAGGGAAGTTTGGTACTTTTGGGGCACTTTTGTTGTTTTTTGGGCAAATTAAATAGGTTGATTACAAAACTGTCCTAATAGACTATTCAGATTCCTCTCTTTAGTAATGTATTCTCAGCACTTCCATCACGTTTGTATTTTTTTAACAAAATGCCTTTCGGTACTGAAAAGCAAGGACTGACAAATAGGTGCAAAACACTTCCGGTCAGGCTTTACTTTTCATTCTCTCTCTGAGCAATTAAAAGCACTAAGAGGGAAAAGGTTTCTGTCATAGTAAATGCAGATGCAAGCTGGCAACGTATCAAAACGTAGAAGGGAAAAACAGCAGAAACCCAAAATAGTCCCAGAGAGAGCCAAAGTACCGGATGGCACATCTAGGAAAACGCAGTCATTGTGATGGAAACCTACGAAACAGTAGACACTGGAAACAGGAGGGCAAAGGAACACAGCTGAAACTAATCAGTACAATAAATGAGACAGGAAGTTAAGCTCAAAGCGAGACACCTGCGGTGTACAAAGAAGCAACGACTTACTCAAGCTTAAAATCAGTTTTCTGTCTCACAAAAGTGACTCTTGTTTTAACTGGTGACATCGCAATGGGAACTTGGAGATCCTAAACACAGCTAGCTTAATCAGAATTCTGTAATTTATGTAAGTGCGTTGCAGATTCTCTGCTGGGGGAATTTGTTTTAAAAGTGCAAGTTGTTAAGGTTTGTCTTACTAAAACCAATGAATTAAGCACAACTGGTACATGACATGGTCACAGGAATATGCTTGTATTGACTTGGTGATGCAGAAAATGCGTAAATGCTGTTATCCTCTAATCTGCTGCAAAGTCTCCTTCACATTGCTACTAAACACAAAGAGTACCTGTTCAGGGCAGGGGTCGGCAACAAGCGGCTCTTTAGTCCTCATAGTGCGGCTCCGCGTGGTTTGGGAAGATAACTTAGAAGTATTTAGCTGAAGTGTAATTTGATTATGTATGTTCTTTTTTTTTTAACTTGTACTTCTAAATTGGAAGATTATTGTGATAGGGCCTAAATAAATATAAAAATAAAATTATATTCTATTATTTTTTTCATCGCTCAAAATAAGCGTCACACTCGCGGAAGCCGGTGCACCTCTGCCTCATTTATCGAGACTTTCAACCCCAGGTAGGCCAGTTATGGATCTTCGGATCCACATTATGTCAGCAGCTCCACCGTGAACTATGTTAAAAACAAACACGCTCACGCCTCACAGACGACAGCTTACAGTCCTGTAACGATGAAGTGACTTCGTACAGCCCCGACCTGCAGACGCTGTGCGCAGAGGTTCAGGAGCAGAAGTCCCGTTGTAAACATATCACGGCAGACCCGACGATGTTTGCATGAACACGCTTTTCAGCATCTCTTTATTGACCACTTTTCACACACGGTTGCTGTGCGCACACAGCCGGCTGTAGCTTTGCAGCTCACAGCCCGACACATACCAACAACAGCAGAGAGAGCACAGACGTTAAGGCGGCGAGGCGTGATTGCGGGTGCCGCTCAGGTGCGTCCGCCTCCCCTGCAGCGGCGCTGCAGACCACGCCCCGCCACACCCATTAACCAGGTAAAATACATATTTAGGCAGAATTTTGCAAATATCTATTTTTCTTTTTCTTTTTTAGCAGCATAGAACTTTTTTCCAATTATTTTTTTTAAAAGTCAGGTCAAGGCTCCAAAAGCCCAAAGGCGATATGAGGGGGGCGGCTCACAGCAGGTTTTGTTTGCTGGGTCATTTTAGTTCAGCTTTCCTTTTGCTATATTTCTTTAAGAGATCAAAATGTGTTAATTACATAAATAAAATGTAATTTTCTCTGTAGCACTTCATGGATTTCATAAGAAACACACCTTAGTTGTTCACACAAAGCATAAAGGTTAAAAACAATATATACAGTGTTATCTTCATTTTAGATGTCAAAAAGTATCCCAGTGTTTTCTTTTGCGTGGAAACTGGCTCCAAATGGCTCTTTGGGTGCTAAAGGTTGCAGACCCCTGGCTCAGGGGATGTTAAACTGGTGGGCCATAGACCAGTAAACCTACATAATAAATGTATAAAATTATAGTTTTTGTTAATTTACTATAGATGTACTAATAGCAAACAAACAGCAACTTTCCTGTCATTTAACTGTTTATCTGTTAATTAATTCATAGGTGTAGTATGAATGGCAATGAGTGGGCAGTCTTTATCAACAGCAACTTGTAAAAATACAGTTAAAACTTCCAAATCTGCTTCACATTTTCTAAGGCTGTGGAATGGGCCAGATTGGAGTCTTCACTGGGCTCATTCTGGCCCCCAGGCCTTATGTATGACACCCCTGGTTTAAGAACTTAAGTTTCAGGGCTCTAATGTCCAACCATAAACAGAAGCCATGAGAGCACACTCAGCGATAACAAAATGTGCAGAAATTAAAATATTTGTTTTACTGCTCTGTGTAATAAATCCCAGGATGAATGATTTTCAGCAGCATTAAGCTGCTCTCGTATTTGCACATTTCTTTCTATTCTTTGTAGATTTTTAATCACCATTTTATCATCACCATCTGAGAAAAAGTCAGGCTCTGATAATATTAAAATAATATAAACATACAGTCACAAGTCATACAGTTGTGACTTTATAACTGCTGATTTCTAATCAATAGCATAACCTGGTCTAGGGTGGGCTGGGCTCGCAGCACGAACTACCATAAGAAACAAACCACGTTTGTATTACAGGAAACCCGGGCTTAACCTTTGGGACATATGCAGGGCCTCATTCCAGGAAGCAGGTTTAGTGAAGTTAGCTCATCCTGGAAGGAGGGAAACTCTGGGTTTTCTGGTTCAGAAAGAGCTCCAGTCAGTTACCAATCAGTTACCAGGGTAACAGACTCTGTAAGCCTGACCTGGAATGCTGAATGGTTTTCTTCAGTAAACTTTGAGGTTTGTCTGACTCCTTCCTTCCTGTTGCACCAGAAGCAGCTGACTGACTGCTGGCTTCATTTCTTCACTCATGAAGTTCCTCTGAAAGCTCAGAGGGAATTCATTTTACCTCTACTCAATCATTTACTAATCAGACTCAGAGCATAGACATTAATAACATCTGATTTATTATTCACTCAGAATAAATCGATATCTTTCTTATTCTGTGACTCTGTGGGCAGCAGCTGTCAGAACATCATTCTTTTGCACAGGAAACGTTTAGTGTATGTTAGCGATTGCTGTTTAAATAAAACATACCTGCATAAAGCTTTAGACAACACCCTGTGTGATGATGACTTATGCCATGTTGTAATCGGTCACATAACCTCTGTCACACTTGGGATTTTGGAGTTCATGTGAATCTTTGAGGCTGAAACGATTTTCAGACTAAAACAGCATTTCATTTATTTTAAAGTTGCTTCTGAAATGCAGCCGCAGACCGTCCGACGAGCTTCTCGACATTCTCAAAGATTGAGATTCAGTCATTAAACGATGCCCAACAACATTTTGAAATGGTGCATTTGTCCATTTGTGAGTTCTGTGCATGCGACTTTGCCACACTGATACTGATAAGTTCTACCCACACTGACTTTGTTTGCTGTTTACAGATTTTGTTGGATCAAACACAAAGAACACCAGAACCGTATTTAAATGAGCTATTTGTAACTGCTAACCGAATTTTTTTGCGTTTACACAGACAAATTCTTTTGTTGTTCGTTCAAATAAAAGCTCCATCTGGGCCTTCGTTTTCATTATTTACCAAAATAATGGTGTCCGTTTTTGACGTAACAAATTCCCTGTCTGAACTCCAACGTGGGCGGGGCTCGGACAATTCGAATCACATTACACGTCTCGGACTTGGCGCTCAACCAATCACAACGCGGTACTGAGGTTTCTTAGCCAATGACGATGCGTGTATAGGCAGAGCGGGATGTTCCGAAACTTAGACACGGAAGTTTGTGACGTTTTCGTCTGCGTTTCCTGTGTGTGTCATAAACAACAACAAAGAAACTCGTATTTGTTGAACATGGTTTCGTGTAAAGTGCCTCCAGTTGAATAAACGGAGGATTCAAGGCGTTCCGTCGCTCATAAAAGAAGCTGAAGTGTTCCGGGTAAGTCGGAAATCAAAGTAGGAAGAGCTTCGTGTTTCGATGCCCTTTTAAACCACAGACTGCGCCATGTTAAACGCGCCGTCGGTTACCACCTTCATACGGTCAGTCGGAAGCGTTATTGTCTGTAATATACGGTTCATGATTGTTCTTCAGTTAAGCTTTATTTTAAGATTTATTATGTTGACTCGTTACGAACCTGAACGTCAACTTGAGGTTAGTATTTTCTCCTGTCATAAGCTACGATATGGATAAATGTAACGCTTGCTTACTATATTAAAGCGCTGTTTACGGTGTGTATATATATTAATTGTATAACATTAATCTGTGTTTGTCAGGAGACACAGCAGCTTCCGGGAGAGATGGAGGAGCTCTACACCTTAGAGAGGGAGGTGGGACGAGGCAGTTACGGCGTGGTGTTTGAGGGCCGTATGGCCAAAACTGGACAGAAGGTGGCTATTAAGCGGCTGCCCTGCAGCAACCCAGAGTGTATTGAACTCTACTTGCAAGAGCTGTGGGCCATGAGAACCACAGCCAGGAACCACGTCAATGTCATTGCACTGCACAGCTGCCTCCTGCAGACGGGGTCCAGGAGCCTGAAGACCTTAAAACCAGGGAAACTGCCCCTGCGTCTGGTTGAGAGCGTGCTCAAAGGAAGTGTGGTCACAGCAAAGCAAAGTCAGGAAAGGACCAATCCTCAGTCTAACACCAGGAGGACAAACTCTGGCTTCAGACTGCAGGACAGGACTAACACTGTGCAGGCCAGAGCTCATCTCCATAACAAGGATGAATCAAATGCATCTGATTCCACAACCCCTCAAAGGCCTCAGAGCAGAGTCAGGAAGAGACCGGCCCCGAGGGAGGAAGAGCAGACTGCGCCGCTGCGCTGCTTGGCCCTGTGGCTCGTGATGGAGTACTGTGATGGAGGAGACTTGAATCAGTACCTGCTCTCCAGGCCCCCAGATGCTCAGCGTAACCACAGCGTGGTGCAACAGCTGTGCAGCGCCGTGGCCTTCCTACATAGCCTGGGAATCACCCACCGGGACCTGAAACCTGACAATGTGCTGGTGTGTGTGACACCAAAAGGCCCCGTCGTCAAGGTGGGCAGATGTGACGGTGTTTATCTCAGATCAAGTGGCGTCAAGCTTTGTTTGAAAAGTCACACTGTTCAAATTTGAAGGCACATTAGTGCTTAATAGTTCTGCTCTCTGAGGGGGTGTTTGCTTTTCACAGCAGCAGTCTGCTTGAGACGCAATTAACATAAGAAAGTAAAATATGAAGAAAACAATTGGAAACAAAATTGCTCTACTGATCTCTTTATAGCTAAGCAATGAACACATTATATACAAAGCAGAGGGAAATATTTATGGCACAGCAGTGCAGCCAGGAAGTGAGATTCTACTGAAAGTCAAATCACAGATCAAGTGTTCGTGTAAATCCATGTAAACCCAAACAAGCCAGATTATCTGGTGAGTTTTTATCTTTATATGTGGAACAAATGAAACTCTAAATTAAGATGCAGCTACAGGTTGCTTTCATTGTTTGTTGATCTGCCACTTACATCTCTACAGAACATCAGAAAGTCATGAAGCATGTCCAGCCAAAAGTGATGTCCTCACATGTAAAGAGCACTCTACCAACATTGACTCATCATTCTGTAATGATCAGACCTTACGTATCTTTGTAAATCATCTTAGATGCGTGGATGAGTCTTGATGAAACTTTGGCCACTGTGACTGCCAACATCTCTTTGGTGCTTACAAATATTTTTACTCATCCCACACATTGTTCGATCAAGCACCAAATAAAAGTGTCACTGTATAGAATACAAAGTCAGATTAGAGTAGCGTGTCACGATATAATATAAATCAGGGGTCCCCAATCCCAGTCCACGAGGGCCGGTGTCCCTGCAGGTTTTAGATCTCACCCTGGGTCAACACACCTGAATCACATGATTAGTTCATTACCAGGCGTCTGGAGAACTTCAAGATGGTTATTTATCCATTTAAATCAGCTGTGATGGATCAAGGACACACATCTAAAACCTGCAGGGACACCGGCCCTCGTGGACTGGGATTAGGGACCCTGATATAAATGATCATAGCATATGTATGTTTCCCATCTTCCCAATGGTTGATTAATTTTCTACCAGTTGGCTAGTAGGAAAAAAAACTTTGTGTGCCAGCTTTTCTTTCCTTTTCTTTTTTGTTCTAAGCCAGATATTAAAAGTAAAGGACAGCGCTTTTTACTGTCCTTCTAAAACCAGGGGTACGCAACTCCAGGCCTCGAGGGCCGGTGTCCTGCAGGTTTTAGATGTTTCCTTGATCCATCACAGCTGATTTAAAGGGCTAAACGACTCCTCAGCATTTCTGAAGTTCTCCAGAGGCCTGGTAATGAACTAATCATTTGATTCAGGTGTGTTAACCCAGGGTGAGATCTAAAGCCTGCAGGACACTGGCCCTCGAGGCCTGGAGTTGCCTACCCCTGTTCTAAAACTATTGGTGGCACATTGATGAGACTAAGCCCAAGCTGTAAGCTAACCGAAGGCGTGCTGGTTTTTCTTTTTCTTCTTTAACCCCGAGGTGGCAGATTTTGGTCTGAGCAAAATGAGTGAGGGCTCCGTGGATGGCGGCCTGACCAGACAGCACTTCTCCTCCACCTGTGGTTCGGACTTCTACATGGCTCCAGAGGTGTGGGGCGGGCTGACCTACACTGCCCAGGCAGACATATTCTCTCTGGGCGTGATGTTTTGGGCGGTCCTGGAGAGAATCACCTTTCTGGAAGAAGGGATGACTCAGGAACAACTGGGTAAGCGTCTCGCTGAGAGAAGACGTCACCATAAGCCTCTGCCTCACTATTTGGCGCACTCGCAGGAAGGTGGGAAAGGTTGAGTGTGCGGTCAGCCTGGTGATGATGCATCGCGCTGAATCCAGTTTGCCTTAATTAAGTGGCACATATTAAAAATGTCAGCTGCTATACATCATTCATTTATCAAGCATGGATGGTACGATCATAGATCTAAATAGCAAAAAGATGAATGATGATTTATGCAATGCTGATGTGGATTATAGTACCTTGTATTTTAATACAAGCTGACATTATGTAATTCAGCCTTCCATCTTATTAAGAATTTGAGAAATCTGCGTGTTCGTCCATTCTCTCATCTTTGCTCCAGACCTGAGAAAGTTTTAATGATCGCTGGTTCTCTGCAGTGACTGCTGCCCACTCCACTCTGTAAGAGCCATAATAAGAGGGAGATGCAGCATTCAGAAATAAACTGAGATCTCTGAATCCCACAACAGCAAAGTGGTGACAGTGTAACTTTCAGGAGAAATAAAAGCACTTTTAAAAACGATATTTTGTGGAAAGGTTAGCAAACTTTGATTTGACTTTGACTGCATGATTCGTAAAAAATGTACAAACTTCAGACTCCAGCTTTCTTTCTGCCAGCTCCTCCTAATAATAGCATATAAAACGATATCAAATATAAGTCATATATTTGGATGTGTGACGCGTAACTTAACACAGCGGTCCCCAACCCCCGAGCCACGGACCAGTTTGGTAGCGGGCCGCGAGAGTTGAGGCTCGGGTGTGAAATTGATGGTTTTCAGGGTTTTTATCATTAACTCTGTTTCCCTGGGTCTTTCCCGTGTCGTAGTTGTGCGTCTTATTTTGAAAGAAATGTTTATGCGTTACCATAGCGACAAGAGAGCATTAAGGGGCGGAGAGGAGGACGTTACTCTCGATGTTGTTGGCGCATTTCAGGAGGACGCTGCTAATAAATTCAATTCAATCTTTATTGGCAGACTTCATGTCCATAAAAACAAGACAAGAAACACACACACAACTCCCCCCCACCCCCCACAACACAAGGTATAAACCGCTAAATATATATATGTATATAAATAAGTATATAAAGCATTTGTAAAAATATAAAACCATAATATACATAAAACACAATTACTTAAAATAAATCAATAAATACACAAACACTTTAACCAGTGCTTTCTGAGACTGGATGAGTAACGGGAACCACTCAGTGTTGGATCTGTAAGTGCTAAAATTATACTGTTACTCGAACCATCCAGTCGTTCTCTAAAACTGAACATTAACTTTCTTAAAAGTGCTTTAAAAGTCCAGACACCCACAGCTACAAACATCTGGCTGGCACTACCACTTCTAGTTATCCTACAAAGAATTCTCACCACATCATTATATGTAATGTGCAGCTTCTGCATGCTACATTGTTTGTAGGATGACCACAAGGGGGCAGTATATAGCGTGTGCAATACACTTTAAACAAAGCCACTTTAACTGGAAGTGAACAAAAGCTGAATTTGCCTGCACATAGAGCTTACACCGCTGTCTGTATATGTCATCATCATCATTCATTTGCTCAGTAATAAAGTGACCGAGGTATTTCACCTTTTTAAGAACTTCAAGAGTTTTTGGGACAGTTTAAACAAAGGGAAATTTAGCTGTTTATCCTGCTTGGTTCTACATATCAAAACAGCACTTTTAGCAGCATTGTACTCAATGTCATATTGCACACCATATTCAGTACAGACATTGAGAAGATCCTGTAACCCAGCACTGCTTGGACTAAAAACAACCAGGTCATCTGCATACATGAGATGATTTATCAGTGCTTTACTTAATATACACCCAGTGTTACAGGCTCTCAGCTGTATGGACAGATCATCAACATATAGATTAAATAAAATTGGAGACAAAATCCCACCCTGTCTGACACCAAAGGGGGCAGAAATACTGCTTCCCCATTTAACCTGCATGTTCTGATGAGCGTACCAGTAAGAGAGAATCCTCGCCATGTATTGAGGAACTCCCCGTCTCTTCAGTTTATCAAAAAGTTTTCTGTGGTTCACTCGATCAAAAGCCTGAGAGGCATCAATGAAACACATGAGGACAGATGAATTTTTAGCCCTGTACAAACTGACTATTTCCTTGAGTGCATATATGCACATGTCAGTGCCGCGCTTTGGTTTGAAGCCAAACTGATTATCCAGAGAAGAGATGAACACACTAACTCTGTCAAACACAATCTCTGATCTGAGAGGTTTTGTGGTCAGCAGCAGCTCAGTCGGTGGTTCCAAGTTTTACACAAATGAGTCCTCAGTCTGTTGCTACAGCTTTAAAGACGATTGCCTATATTTTCCTAAGTGGCAGATGAGTTGGTATTTGTGTATGACAACATAATTTGTCCTTCTCGTACGTCAGCATTGTCATCAAACTCTGATGCCGTGGCATTGGAAGTATAACGTCTCCAAAGTTGTTGGCAGTTCGATTCGAGCAGAGGAGGGCACCGAGCCATGCGCTGGAGCTCCGCAGTGAGATTTTAATTTCTTTTCTTGATGTCTCGTCAGAAACCCGCGTGGCCGTCGGATGGTGCAGCGTCTCGACGTACAATAACACAGAGCGCTGTTCTGCTCTGCTCTCAGAGAGTAATGAAATGGCTGCAACACCGACGTCTCATTTTGTTCGCACAAACCCGATTCTGCTCAGAGGAGACCGAGCAGCGGGGCGATGTGAAGCATTATCCCCCAGTTTAGTGCCCGAGAACTTCCCTGAGTCATTGATGTTTATGCTGAAAGAAGATGCTTACAATTGGAGAGTTGTGTGAGTGGATCATTTTTCCCTTTAATAAAAAAAGTAGAGTTTAGCAGCTCAGCTATCACAAAGAGAAAACCGAGAGATTCAACTGAAGGTGTTTCAAAGGTAGAAATAACGCTCCATTATTTAACTTTAGCGTGTCTGAGGATGTGCACGCCCACATGCTTACACAACGATCCAGGGGAGCGGAGAGGAGCCAATCACAGAAAAGCCAGACTCAGCCTCCTGTGCTTTAGGCCTGGAAAGCCTTCATGGCGTTTTGCTCAGTCAGGTTAGGCAATGATTTGCTGGGCTCTGACTCGGGCCAGCGTTACTCAGACTTCAGTGTTGACTTCAGGCTTTTATGAACAATGTGTCACCTTAGGGTCCTCTGTGATTTTGGTCACACTACCTCAAAAACCTGGTGTTGAGCTAAAGTACCAACCGATGCTTTTCAAATGACTTTTTAAAATTTTTGCAGCACATGTGTTTCAGTGATGCGGCTTTATTAGTTTCCCTCCATTAATCTCATTTTTCTGTTAGTTAATGTAGTTGTCTTATGTCTAATGATGACGAATGACCAGTTCAAGTGAGTTCACAGTTTTATCTTATGGTTTCTTGATTACACTTATCAAAATCTTCTGGTGCAAAAGGAAGAAAAGAAGCTCAAATATTTCAACTTTGATTCTGAAGATCAGAGGCAGGAAGTTCTTTCTGCTCATGGGTTAGGATCATGTTCAGCCTACAGAAGCAAGCACATACACTTGTATGTAATGACACCTGTGGACAGGTCGGGCTGAAATATACTGAACACCTTTCAAAGTGTTGACATCATGTAGTGACCAAATCAGTCTGTGAACACATTTAAACATGAAAACACTCGTTTCACCATCCGTGTGTCTAAATCTTTTTTAATGTAAACAGTTATTGTTAAAGTGAGGTGCAGGAAGTGTTTGCATCCAAGGAAACTGACGTGTGACAGGATTACTGTCCGTGGAGTCAGAGCTAGAACCTTTACGGGTTTCCGTCATCTTGGGGTCATGTTAGCTAAACCTTGGAGTAGGGCCCGGTGCCTGAACGTCATCTCATCTTTGCTAATAATGATCCGACTCTTACGCCGTAGCACTCTAAGCCAGACTGATTACACTTGATGCTGTGTCACAGGGCCAATCAGAGCCCTCAGTTCATCATGTGATGCTTGATGGATTGTTCCTGTGAAGGAGTAATGCTGGCCCTGAGCTCTTATTGAATCTCCATTTTCTTTGTAAAGGACCCATACATAAGAAATGTCACACAAGCTTTTTATCACATGCATACTAACAGTCTGCCACATGCAGACACATAGAAGGGAAATAGTTTTACTGAGCCATCCACAAATAGTCTCCACAAAGAGAGCAATTTATGAGAGCTAAGAAAATCCCAGCGTCAATTTAATTTAAACACTTTTGTGTTCCACGTTTTTCCTTGTCATTTAATTGTAATTATGTTGTTTCTGATTAGTCCATGAATGACTCATTAATAAAGTGTGTCTCGTCGTGCTCTGAACATCTTGCACACCCTGTTAGTAATTCCTGGTAATATTCCACGCCAGCTTCTCAAAGTCACTGAGGTCTGAGGCGCTCTGCCGTGTCTAACCTACCCGTCTTCCTCCCCGTTTCCCCTTCAGGCGCCTACGTGTGCAAGGGACGCTCAGGCTGGCTGATGCCGCTGGGAGAGGCTCTGTGGGAGAATGCAGAGCTCCAGCTGTGCATCCCGACGAAGTTTAAGAGAGCGCCCCCGCTGCCGCCCCCTCCCGGCCCTGCCACGTGCGCCCTGCTTTCAGAGATGCTCGCCTCAAACCCGGACGCCCGGCCGACGGCTGACCAGCTGGGGGCCAGGGTGCGCTCCGCTCTGAGAGAGGACTCCCACTGACACAGAGTACACTTGAAAGACTGTAATGGGCTGAACGACAGTAAGGAGCCCAGACTGCAGTTCGTCCTGTTTGTTTAAATAACGGGCACTTTGATGCCTCAGAGAGGAAGGGGTGATAAATGTGTATGATTATCTGGGATTGCAGGTGCTAATTTTCTCCCTGAACCACAAGCTCAGCTTCTAAATCATGTGCAAAGCCATATAAAGGGAAAACAGGAATGAACTAGCAGATTCAGATATGGCTGAATTGGCATAAATAGGTTTGCTGCTCAGTGAGTTTTAAAGGTTTTTTAATTCCACATTATTATTATTATTATTATTATTATTAATTTAGCCTAGGTATGGCTCTACTGAGCTTTAAGGACATAAAAGTAGTAGGCTTAAATCTGTAGCGTGGGTCGGACTACATAATGCTGTGTGTGCTGAAATAACTCTGTGATACTATTTTTGTGTCTAAGCTGTAATGTTTCAGTTTATGCTGTTATATATTTTCACAAAGGTGTGTGTGGACATGATTTTAATACTCAGTTTCACTCAAACGTTCTCACCTCAAATCTTCAGAACAAAATGTCTATTTATTCTTCTGTTTTAGTGAAATATAACCTTTGTATACGTCAGTTTACTTACTCTCAGAGGCACTTAGCGTCTTTTTTCCTGCCTGTGTGCATTCAAACATTAATATTTGAGTTTGTCATTTGTAAATATTTCTTCTTCATTTCACGTGTTTGCTTTGAGTTAGTGACGCCGTCAGCTGTTTACAGGATTTTCAAACTTGTGTCATATCTGCTGCACAGCACAAGGCTCGCTGTGACGGACGGTCGCTAACGTCTCCTCCTGAACAGGAAATTAAAGCCAGGCATGTGGATTGTTGCTGATCATATCCACGCAGTGTTCACTCTGTTTATTAGTGATCATCAGTCTCAGTCACATGCGTGGATGAATGGAGATCGATTATAACATCAACTGTGTCCTAAATTTCTTGTTAATCTCATGTAATTTAAATAAAGATGGATTTATAACCTCTTTAATCAGTGGTAACGGGAATTTTTATTCATGTAAAATTCATGCTTGCAGTGTAGTTAAAGTCAAACATTGACCTGTGGAATAAATGAACTCTTTGCTCAATAAGGCTGTTACACCGAGCGCACGGAGACTCGGACATTAGAGGGAAGTAGTATGGGCTCAAAATGTGGTCATAAATATTTTGTACTTGTAAATCAGCTTTGTATCTGTGAAAAGATTTGTGTGTGGACTTAGCCCCAAAAAACCCCTGCAAGTTACAAGTACGAATTTTGGCCCTATTTTTCTTCCTTTCATCTGATTGGTCAATGTCATGTCAATCACAAATGTAACAATCCAATCAGAGAACAGATGGGTTTGGCCGTCGGAAGGCCGCTTTTTTTGAACTGCAGGTCTTTGAAGGGAATAAATGCCCTTTTACATGCCAACCCAGCGTTTTCCTTCATCACCACAAAGGAAAACAGTCTGTGGTCGTCCGAGTTTGGTGATTTTTGTGTCACAGGTCTACGTGTTTAATATAGGGACTTCCACAGCCTTTTCAACAGTGCTGCGGAACGCAGGGTGGGGGCGGGCAGTGTTTTGTAAATGACAGTCTTCATTACAAAGCTTTCTTCGTTATGAATTAGCATACATGTTTTTACATTTGAAGAACTAGCAAAAAAACCAAACTCTTGTAGAGGACATAAAGTCAGAGATAGAAACGACAAGGAGCAGGTGCATCTAGTGCAGGTAGAGCTGCTGCAAAAACCCACAGAGCTCAGCAGCCAGCGCAACAAATTCTGGATCCTTTGCTTTTAGTTAGCAGTTAGCATTAGCAGCACATCCTGCTCTGATGTGAAAGGACTTTTATGCTGCGCACTGTGACTCACAGCAATGGTCCCAGGTCAGCCCTGACTTTGTGTTAAACTAATCCTAAAGTAATGATGTATTTCTAACCACTGATATACCACAACTTTCAACAGCTACTGAAAGTTAGGGGACCTAGCTGCTATTGGATATTTATATAGAGATCCTCCAGCTTCAAACTGTATTACCCTTCAAGGACCTGCAGTTCAAAAAAAAGCGCCCCTCCGACAGCCAAACCCATCTGCTCTCTGATTGGATTGTTACATTTGTGATTGACATGACATTGGCCAATCAGATGAAAGGAAGAAAAATAGGGTCAAAATTCGTACTTGTAACTTGCAGGGTTTTTTTGACACACAAGTCCACACACAAATCTTTTTTACGCACGCACAAATTCTTTTTACACATACGAAACTGATTTACAAGTACAAAATATTTATGACCACATTTTGAGCCCATAAAGTAGCGATTTAAGCTAGTGAGGTGACGGTCAGCGCCTGCGCTCAGCGAGGTTGTCTGTGACAGAGGCCAGTACATCACAAACACGACCTTTGAATGCTTGTCCACAGAGGTTGTAGAGGACGGATCGCTCCGGCTCATCACCACAGAACCTGTGCAGGTGGAACATTAAATGTCTTCTGCACGAATCCCCAAAACAGAATCACAAACGCCGGCTACGTTATCAAGTAAACCCAGCCACTGAGTAAACCTGTGCAACTGCTTGCCAACGCATATCTAATCAGCCAATCACGTGGCAGAAATTCAATAAATTCAGGAATGTAGACGTCATTAAGCAAACCTGCAGAAGTTCTGTTTGAACCACGGCGTGCAGAAGCGCATCTCTAAATGCATTTAACTTTGAGTCCACATGCAGTTTACACAGAGCATATGTGAAAATGTTGCTGAGAACACGTCTCAAATTTCGCTACTATTCACATGATGGATCAGAATTTGGCATGAACAAAAGTATGGATCCGTCCTGCCTTTTATTTAAAGCAGGGGTCAGCAACCTTTCTGATGATGAGTGCCATCTAGTGTCGCATTAACTGGTATTAACTCAGCCAGTTAATGCGATGCAAACCCAGCTGCTCATTAAAGCTTTCTGGTTTGATCAGTCTCGAGTCTTCGGATGTATCCGTGTATTTCCGCGGTGCTGATGCTGCGCTGAGCGGACAGCTGCTGAAGCATTTGAAGTGTCTGAATGTGGAAATTTCAACATCGCTCGAAAAAACTGCCAGCTAGCAACGTCCCTCTGTTGTTTTTAGCCAATTACAAGTTGAATCTGGTAGTTGGGGTTGTTAGCTAAGATACCGTCATTACGAAACGGCACAACTAATGTGTGTATGCGAGTTAATTTGCGATGTGCACCGCTGGCCCGGCCATTTATTTTTTAATGCACCTTCTCAGATTAACTCACTGCGTGTCGTGCCCAGGGCTGGACTGGGACAAAGAATCGGCCCGGGCATTTTGACGAGAGACCGGCCCCCCATAAAGCCTTTGAATGCAAACGCTGTTGTGACAGTGATGCACGCTGTCTTGTTGGTATATGTATGATTTCTATACATTTTACAGTATTTCTTTGTGCCCCCCTCTCCCTGTTAATGCCCTACCTGCCCCCCTGGCAACACTTTGCTAGATCCACCCCTGCACAGTTACCAGCTGTCAGCTACATAAAAAAGGATCCTGGTGTTATTTGTCTCTCAGAAACAGTTCATAACTTCAACTCATCCATGTCACCTAAAAGGTAAACCTGTTTCTCCATCACCTGTTCAGCTCTGATGATTCAGTAAGAACATCTCCTGGTTTCATCTTCATGTTTCCCTCTCACCACATATCCAAACCGACATCATGACCAGCAGCTTTACAGCTGTGGCTCCAGCAAACATCAGCTGATACTAGAAATTAATATTAAATAAATTCTAACAACAGCTGATCAAGCTTAAACGTGCTGCTGTTGTTTAGCGCGACATCCGCTGGTTTCCTCTTTCTGGCACAAAGTGGGCGATAAACAAACAAGAGAGACAATCAGCTGATCATTGATCAGTTTCATGATTGAAGTAGCAACAGGAGAGGCAGGGAGAGAATGAGAGAAGAAGAGGCAGCTGACAGCGTAATGATGCAGAATAAATCCAGCTTTGTGTCTTTTTCCATCCTAGCTGAAGAAAAAGTCAGCACAACGAAAATAAACTCCACCTAAACTTGGTTTATATCTGACCCAGAGAGACTGCAGGTCATAACTTCTTACCTGAAGTTCAGTTCACCTGACACTCGGACCGGCGGCTGCCTCAGGTCTCTCCTTCTCCTGCCTCGCTTTTCCCTCATCCACCTGCTGGAAGCTCCACCATAGCCACCACCAAACAACTGAGTTATTTTTACAAATCAAAGGAGCTTGCAAAGAAAGGCGTCTGGACTTCTTTAAGTTGCTTGAAGACGTTTCACCTCTCATCCGAGAAGCTTCTTCAGTTCTAAGGTCAAATTCTAAGGTCACATCCTGGGCCATCTGACCTCAGGAAATCACATGATAAGGTGGGGCCAGGTTTCACAATGAACTCACCTGAAACTCTGGCTGATTGGGACCCACACCCAGTTTCACACCTTGGCTCAGGCGATTAGAGGATCATCAGGGGTCCTTTTGTCCCTCTGTGGGGGGAAACTCCCACTAGGTTTATATCTGGGACTCTCCACCATGTGACCTTAGAACTGAAGAAGCTTCTCGGATGAAGGTGAAACGTCTTCAAGCAACTTAAAGAAGTCCCAGATGTTTTTCTTTGCAAGCTCCTTTGACTACGATGACCTGGATGACTGAGAACCTTCACAGACATATTTTTACAAATCTTCCAGCATCTGGCCAATCCACCACCTTTCATTGTTTATACCGTTACTACAAAATAAATAATAATAAGATCATCGGCCCATAAAAACGAAAAATCACCATCGGCCCACCGGGCAAATGCCCGATGGCCAGTCCAGCTATGGACGTGCCATCAGTTAACCCTTCGGCACGCGTGCCCAGGATTGCCGACCCCTGCTCTAAAGGATTCCTTTAGTTGTTCTTTTTGCAAATGCACCAAATCTGGTCCCTCCTAAAGTCCACTTTGGACCACACACTCAAGAGTTCTGTGAGCAGCTACCAGATCCTTCGTTTCAAATCCAGTCAAGTGTTGTACAAAAGCAAAATTACTCATGTTGTGTCACTTTTCACGTACACGAGCCAGAGTGTACAGAAACAATTAGAAGTTCAATATTACAGATGGGAACCATAATCTCCAGCTCATATTTATAGCCCACTGCGTCTCAATGTTAACCAATGAAGTTTCAGCAGATGTTAGATGTTATCTTTCATTCCCTCATATGTCTTTACTGAATGACAGTAACATTAGGAGGGAATTTCGTGCTAGACTATCTTTAGACGACGCCAACTTGATTTGGCTAACTTGTACTTGCCAAAGGCTCTTATCCCCCATTACTCAAAATTGGAATTGCATTAGGAAGGGATCAACTTACAGCAAGTGTGGGCTGGAAGAAACATTACAGGCGCACTAACTCTTTCATTGTACTGTGAGTGTTAAAGTTAAAAGCATAAATCTGGAAAAACTTGTTTGACTAAAAAAAATCTCTTAGTTATATTTTTTCCCACAAATTAAGGTTTAAATAAAAACGTGGGAAACACGGGGCTTTGAGCTAAATGCTAGCAGCAGAACGTGAACGTGTGGTTGAGCTAAGCTTTTGTTGAGACACTCAAGTCTGAGCTGTAAATATCAGCGCCATAAAAATGTGGTCATCCGAGTCATTTTGATTCACTGCTGAGGATGAATTATTTGAATTATTGCATATTTGTTTGTTTTTTAAACTCAGAATTAACTTTTGGTCGAATATTTGAGTCATTCTGACTGGAAACACTTGATGAATTTTGATGAGACTTTGTGGTTCGGCAGAGTGAGCTCAAGCTGGTTTCCAGTTCTCTGCTGAGATTTCGCTTTCTTCTCTCCTACAATGTGAACTCGTGAATGGGATGTAAATAGATTACCACATTGTGATTCAACTTCAATTTATTCACCAGTTCACGATCATATTCACCTCGGGGTAATGCATAATGCATAGACCCTGCAGAATGTGAGAGAGAACCTCAACAATTAGACAATTCACTGTGAGCAACTGTGGGGAGAAAGAACTCCCCTTTGATAGGAAGCAAGCTCTGATAAAGCTCAGGGAGCAGCAGGTGTCTACTGCGACTAGTTGGAGGGCGGAGGTGTGTCTGGTGTGTGTTGGTGCATCATCATAACAGCGTTGGTCCCGATCCAGCCAATCAGACATGTTCGTTTTGTTTCTGTAACCATAACGTTGTTTTCTTTATTCATTTTCTTTTATATTATTCTTTTATCATTTACGATGCTCGTGTTGGTTTGCTTGTGATAATGTTTAAGTAGCAAAGTCTTGGCTAATGCTAACTGATGCTCAGACAACACGATGTTGATCCTGGACCAACGTGAAGGATCCTTTTTATAAACACGAGCGTTTGGTACTTAAACTTTTTTTTTTACATAACTCAGATTCAGAAATGAGAAAAAAAGTTTTGTATTAAAGTTAAATTCATGCCTCAGGTTCTCAGAGGACGTGATAACTTCTGCGTTTGGATCATACAGGACTCTTCATCGTTTAAATACAGCACCTGACTCTTCTGCGTCGGGAGCTCAGCTGAGACAAAACGTTTAAATATTTCCTCACTTCAAATCATATTTTCACTCTCAGTCTGAAAACAGGATTACCGGCCTGCTTCTGTCGTTATTTTTACACTGCGAGAGTTTAAACAGCTTCACATCTGTTTACTTAAATTCGACTTTTGGGCCGGGCGTCTAAAACGGTTTGAAGCTCACCACAGCTCGATGCCTTTCTCATCTCTCACTGTGGTAATGTTAGTGGGCAGTTCTGTAACCTTCAGCCTGCTGCACCTCGGCTCGTGTCGCAGAGAAGATGAGACCCGACTCCGCACAGTGTGGCGGCGCGGGTGGGGGACGAGGAGTCCTTTCAGATTTCACAGCTGATAGAAGGAGTGAACAAGCGTGGAGAGAAAAGCCCGAGTGTGGCGTGTACCTCACTGCGTCAGGACTGCAACACACACAGCGCAGTCACGACACAGCGGCCGCATCCGTTCAGCTCCAGTCGCCCGTGCGGTCGAATCCTACACGAGGCAGAGGTCTCCATGTGAGCCCCCTTTATCGCTATGTTTGATGACAAACGCTTTCCTGTGACTGTGGTTTAAAACAGCAGCCAGGACAGGTACGAGATTTGACCGGAAAGGATTTGTCAAATGAGCTCTCGGCGTGGGTCTGCTACCAACCCCCGGCGATGAGGATCACATTATCAGAGGCTCTGATAGGATGTGACCTTTACCCCTGGAAGCTTTCCACCTTTCTGTGGTTTAGTTTTAACGCCTCAAAGGTCTCCCTGCAACAACAACTCAAAATCTCACAAGCAGTTACTGAAATATACTTTATTGTTCCAGAAAAAGACAGGAAGGCATGACAGAAAACACAAGAAACAGGATTAACTGAGACGCTTTTATGTAACGCTAATATTCAATTTCCTGCCCTACAAATCAAAACAACAGCTGCCCGGCGAGGACGCTTTCCACTGTTTGTTCATCCGCCGCCGTCCGTTAATGAACGCTCCCCTCGTAATGGGTTTCTATGTGATTGCAACATAAACATGATTAACTGGAACCGTGATGCAGGCGTCTCATTCCATCCCAGGCAAACGGTTATTTCACGGATACCCAGATATGCCGATTTTTCTCTGCTGCGCGCACGGATCATTGGAGTGGAATTAAAAATGCCTCGGCAGGTTGGCTCTTGTTCCACGTCAAAGTGAATCAGTGCTGCTTGTTGTGAAAGAGTCTGAGCGGTGCGACCGGGACCCGTGTTTACAGAAAAAGGGGGAGACTCGGAAATGCGCAACTTTAAATAAAAGGCGCCCATATGAGGACACTGTACGTTTAAAGAATCTTAATTTGAACTCAAAACACAAGGCTGGCTTCACCCTAGATAGCGTTCCCTAATTCCTTACATCCTCTCGTATGTCTCCTTATCTTTAAAAAACAGAAGAAATGGAGCAGCGGCGGCCTCTGTGTGCTCCAGATAAAACAAGCCGACCAGCACCGCCTCCGATACTGCAGAACACCATCACATTAATATTCGCGTCCCAGAGTGCTGTTTTGATAAATAAAGTCCGTTTCAGTCCGCTCCCGGCCGGTACAGGTCCTTCACCATATACGGTCCCTCCAGCTCGTAGCCCATCTTCCTGTAGTAGTTCCTTGTTCCTACACCTGCAGGATGAATCACAGCATTCTCAGTGTCACAGGACCCAAACATTCACATCACCGGCTCCTGATAATCTCTCAGTCTGACACACGCAGTGACATTATTGGCTCGTCACAGATAAATCTGTGTTGTTCACGAGGCCTCAGCACACCGGGCGGGCCCCCTGTTTGATTTGGCAAAGTCTCATCCCGGGATCAAACCAGGGATCCTTCTGTTGTTAGGTGAATGTGTAAACCAGCACTTAAAAAAATAAGTAGTCAGTTATTACAGTGTACAATTCAGTCTCGGCCACATCTTCAAAAACACTTCTCCTCTGCTCCTTCAGATTAAAAGCATCAAATTTCTGGTGAAGGGTAAAGATTTTTCCTCCTTTCACTGTGGTCTCCGTGGTTACAGTTACTAAAGATTGTCTACTTTTACAAACTAAAGTGTTTGTTTTTTCTGTGTCAGAACAGTTCACATCGTCTGCATCGACTCACCTGATATAACAGCCAGTTTGCAGGAGCCGTGCTCATCCCTGGCGATTCTTTCAGCCTCCTCCATCAGCATCATGCCAAACCCCTGCACACGCAACACAAATACAATTGGTTTGAAAACATTCAGAGCTTCTGAGGTTCGGCCGGTGTGGAGAAAAACTCGGAGAGGCTCGGAGCGAAACCGTCACGGGCATATCTGTTGTTGTGTGTGCACGTGTGTGAAAGTGTAAGCCACCTGATGCTGGAACTTGCTCGGGTCTCGGCTGCTCACAGGGACCACGCTGCCATACACGTGCAGCTCACGGACAATGGACACGCCTCCTTTGAGCTCCGGGCGGAAGGACTGTGGAGAGCAGCGGCGCAGCCGCAACAGACCGATCAGGATGTCCTGCTCAGGGTCTTCATAGGAGAGAAAGGTCTCCCAGCCGCTGTTGGCCACATAGTCTCTCCGTATCAGCTCCACCTGCACACAGACATCTGTGTTAGGGAGCATCAGGAAACCACAACGTCTCCTCGGCCCGTCTCACGCTGCGAGTGAGGGCGTCGGTTACCTGGTAAGGTCGGACTTTGTGGTGGATCTCTTGGATGCCTACTTCCCGGGTTCTGACGTCACGACACTGCAGGTGCACAAACCCACACACACACACACACACACACACACACACACACACACACACACACACACACACACACAGAGACGAATTAGAAAGTCCAATCACCTCACAGCTGTTACAGCTCATCAGTATAATGCTCCTGCACATGCAGCTTATATATAAAATAGGGGTGGGGAAAAATCGATACTGTGTAGTATCGTGATATTTTGTATCGATGCAGGGACAGCAGAAATCGATATTTTGTTACAAAAAGGTTTCTGTGCTCTGACTTCAGAGCACGTTGATCCTTTTTCTGAGCAAGAATCCTGACATTCCTTCACTGTCCAAATGTGTTTAACTGTTTTTGGCAGCAATAAACATGACAGTTTACTTATTTTAATTTAAGACATGTTTTATTTTAATTACGTTTAAAACTTTTTTATTTAATGTAAAATCATATTTTGTTTTAATTTACTTTCAAATTCTTCAGTTGCTGAATGGGCTGCATAGTTTTCATAAATAGCTATAATTGTACCAGATGGTTGCATTAAGTTAAGTTGGACTAGACTGTAATACAAACCGTTCAGCTTGTCAACAATAAAACTGAAATGAGAGAAAGACTGAGTGCGAGACTTTGATATTAGATAAAATGAATATTGATAAAGTTTACCTTTATGGACAGAATCTGAATATCGCAAAATATTTTTAAAAATTGCAATAATACCGTATCGTGAGTTAAATATTGTGATAATATCGTATCGTGGGATGTTTGGTGATTCCCACCTCTAATATAAAACAGACTTTTATCATCTCAGATTTCTCACAAGTTAAATGTGGCTCCACGTCTGGACCTGCAGTCTAACTGCACACAGTCACAAAACGATAGACAGGAAGTGTGACTGTGGGCTGCGGTGTTACCTGCTCCTATGCAGATCTAAGCCACGGCTCAAGCCACAGGTGAAACGTTTTCAGAAAGACGCAAGACGTCAGCGAGCTGTTGCTGGAGGTGTTACCGTGTTAGACGGTCGTAAGTCACTGATGACAGTATGGAGCCCCATTAGGGATCTGGGGGTGTGGGGGGGCTCGACTGTTTATCTGTGTAAATGGTGATCAGCTGGTTAGCCGAGGCGTGTCCCTGCTGTAATGTGAGGAGCTCTGTCGGCGTGTGCAACACGAATTCAGACCACAGCAATGCCTAAGATCAAACTGGAGCCTCGTTGGCACCGGTCCCTCCTCTGCTCTCAGCAGCTGTCTAAGCACAGATAAAGGGCACTTGCTGTTACCACGGTAACCGCTGTGTCTCCAAATGAACCAGGCCTGAAATCTTACGGATTCGAACTTTAAAGCTTTCTGTTTCAAGGATGGCCAGCTGTGTCTTAAAGGGGACCATTTCTGCTCATTTCCAGCCTCAAAGTTTTATCCTTGGATTCTAGAGGAGCTCAGCGTTGCAGCGGCGAACACGACGCATCCCCGGGTCGAGGCCAGGAGGAGACTCGAGGCCAGTATCAGGAAGCACTGGCTCCAAGCCCGGGTAAAGGGGAGCTATCATCTTTCCTAAAATCAAATGTGCATGTCCATCTGCTACGGTGACCTCTCGGGAATAAGTACCTCACCTGTAGAGTCGCTGCACATGACTCCCAGCTCAAACTAATTCGTATTCATCCCGTCTGACACGAGTCGTTTGAGCTCCACCTCCTCACTCGAAGGCCACATTCATTCAGCTGTTCTGCCCTCGAGTGCTCACGGCGGTTTAAAGCCTGAACTACAGACTTCATCACAGCATTAGTTGTGTTTAAAACAGGGAAAGAGTTGAGGTAAACAAAGAGGAGCAGCTTTCTGCAAACCGGCTGGAAAAGTTTGCAGCGTCAACAAGAGAAGGAGGTCATGTTTGAATAATTTGGCATCACAACATCAGCATAACAGCGCAGAGCTGCGTGTGAGATCGACGCAGCGTGATTCTGGTTCGTAGCCGTGTGTGGAGCTCAGCCAGACAGGCGTGAGGGTAGTTGGTGTTTTTGGGAAGAGCAACGCAGAGCTCTTTCTGTGGTGGCGTTTCAGCTCGGCTCTCGCTGTCTGATAACGGCTGCTTTTTAAATCCAGTCTCTTTAAACGACGCTCTGCAGCTGCTGACTCTCGCATGTGCAGCCCAGCCTGGTGTTTTCAGCTTGGCTGGGCTCGTACCCACGTTCTAATCTACTTTCCAGCATAAATTCAATAAATGCTGGAGGAGGTCGGCTGGGCGGGAGGGTACGCAATTCTGTGCTCCAGCAGTCCTCAGCTACACCTGTGTGGCGTTTTAATCTGTCATCTTACCCACAACAGCTACAGCGGGAAAATTACTCTCACAGTCAGCATTTGCACGTTGGCACTTGTCGCCACTCGAGTTCAACTGTTCTCCCCTTTTGTCGGATCAAATCCCAGCTGGAAAACACCGTTAGCTTCCTCCCTTAAAATAAGCTGACGCACAGCATGTCAGGCCTTATAGTCTCACCTCAGTGCCCATGTCCTTCATCCTGGCCAGTGCCAGCTCTCTCAGGTTGCCGTGCTCCACACCAGAGCTCACCAGCGGCATGGGGATGTCCCTGATGGGCGGATGATACAAGAAATGACTGAACAGCAGAGGCGCTCCACATCTTTGGTACAGTACTGCACTCGTGGTTTTCTGCACTAACAGAATTTCTTTTTTATACAGAAGCAGCTCTGCTGTCATGCTTCACGCTCACATTCACACCTGAGGGAAATTTAGAGTCACCAGTTAACCTGACCCCGCCCAAACAAAAACACTTTGGGGTTCCTGTAGGAACCGTTCATCTCAGCTTCATCTCCACATTTTTATTCTTGCATTCCATTCCTGTAGCTTTGCATAAGTCACACCTCAAATTAATTTCTATTAGACGTATAAAACATCTGCAGATTCTACCGTAATAATCGTCGCTGTGGTGGCTGTAAAAAGACAAATGAGTTTTTTATATTACATTTGGATTGTACTCAGTTATGGCCCAAAAAAGACATTTTGCACACACGAGGATATTTAATATATTTAAGGAATAAAATAAAATAATATAATAAAATACAATCCACTGAATATTTTGCAGTATTTTGATGTTTTTAGCACAAAGTTACCTGAAAAACTGGCCACCGTTCTTTTTCCCGGTGTGTGTGTGTGTGTGTGTGTGTGTGTGTGTGTGTGTGTGTGTGTGTGTGTGTGTGTGTCAGTGCTGGGTGAGCCCCATATGTGAGTCACTTCCTCCACAAACCGCTGCCTCTGTGCATTTTTATTACATTCATTCAAACACATCGACCTGTTGGAAGCTGTACATGCATATTTATGAGTTTAGCATCTTTGTTCTATGAAATAACCTCAAACAGTTACTGACTGCATCTTTGAGGCTTTCTCCTGATAACAGAGTTTGTTAAACTTCATCACCCTACAGATGCAGCTCTGAAGCATGACCTGGCTTTAGCCATGTGCTGGAATTATTGAGAATCGTGCACGCAGCTCACGTACCATCAAGCGTATCCACTCACCTTTGCACTCGGTACACTCGGGTCCAGGGCGGCACCAGCGCCAGAATCCGAGCCACGAGATCCACCAGAGCGCTGGGCGTGTAGCTCTTGTACCGGCCGGTCTTCCACAGCTCGTACAGACCCGTGCCTCGGATGACCAGGGTGGGGTACAGTTTCAGTCCATCTGGCCTGAAAGCTGGATTTTCAAAAAACTCCTGGAACAAGCAGATTCATGTTGCACTTTAAACTCACCGCTTAACAGAGAACAATTCACATTTGCATCAAAGTTTTATTTCTGGAATGAAGCAGAGAGTTTGTTTGAGCTTCTTGAAACTGATGAAACGGGGTCAGAGAGAAAAGGAGGAGCTGACTTCATTTATGTGACTTTTCCACACGGGTCAAGAAAAACGGGCCTCTGCAGAGGCAACGAGCCCGGCTAGAAGCAGCATCCACTGACACTCAGTTATTCAGTGGGAGGAAAGAAATGTCTGGGTCTGCGCAGTAAGAGGAGTCAGTGTGATTTCCAGTCATGCTCCTCCCCTCTGCGCACGCTATCATGATCAGGACCGTGAAAATCTGGAGTGGAGGCGCATTCTCCAAAATAGGCCGCATTATCGGTATCTCATAATCTCCCCCTCTCTCGTCACAGCTCATAATCACACGAGGACATGTCCCACACGGCCCTGCAGTGCAGCTGAAGGGAGGGAAGAGGGGGAGCCGATCCGACAAATAACAACGCTTCGATACCAAAAGGAGGAGACCTGGGACTGGGGGCGGCGAGTATGCACCTGCTACTGGTTTGGACTGTAAATTCACAGCTTCTGTTGGTTGGTAGAGAAGAAACTCGTTAGGATGCCTCCCTGAGAACAGGAGCATCTGTACACAGGAGATAAGTGAGGGAGGAGCTCAGGCTGGGAGGAAGTTGTAATCGAATTTCTTTATCAGAACGAGCGTGAAGTGCAAAGTTCTCCTGTTGCTGCCCTTTGCAGATTTAAACTGGTCTGGGATGCTGCAGACAGCAGCGGGCCCATTATAATAGGCAGCAGCCACAGATAACAGGAAGCATGACTGATTTGCGTTTGCATTCATCTCGACCAAAGACAATGAGGAGCCCCCGCCTCCGAATGCTCGCAAACAGAGGACCTCAATCAAACTATTATTAGCAGCTGTCTGTAAACCAGTGATATACAGGGTGGGTCATTTATATGGATACCCCGCAATAACATGGGAATGGTTGGTGATATTAAAGTCCTGTTTGTGGCACATTAGTATATGTGAGGGGGCAAACTCCTCCAGATGGGTGGTGACCATGGTGGCCATGTAGAAGTCGGCCATTGTCTTTAGTTTTTTTCAATAGGAAGATGGTCATGTGACACATCAAACTTATTGGTAATGTCACAAGAACAACAATGGTGTGCTTGGTTTCAACGTAACTTTATTCTGTCATGAGTTATTTACAAGTTTCTCTTTGTTCACAGCCATTGACATGTCGAAGAGGTTAACACATGAGGAGCGAAATTGTGTTGATATCTGGTGAACGCAGTAACCGGGTCATTGCAGCAGATTTCAATGCAAGACACCCTACGAGACCACCCATCTCCCATGCTACAGTCAGCAAACTGCTTGCTAAGTTTGGTGAAACTGGTTTAGTGTTGGATTTGCCAAAATGTGGACGCAAGAAAACTGTCAGTAATGAAGAAACATCAGTGGCTGTCCTAGCTTCATTCAGCAAGAGCCCACAGCGTAGCACTCGCCGCATGTCACTGGAGAGTGGCATTAGTCCAACATCCCTTCGGCGGATATTAGCTACTCACAAATGGCACCCATACAAACTCCAGCTGCTGCAGCATCTCGACGAGGATGACCCAGATCGGCCACAGAATTTGCAGAATGGGCAAAACAAAAACTGGAACAGGACCCTCAGTTCACGCAGAAGATTTTGTTCAGCGATGAGGCAAACTTTTATGTGAATGGTGTTAACAAACAAAATCACCGCTATTGGTCTGACACTAACCCACACTGGATGGATCCCTCCAAGACTGTTGGAACAACAAAAGTGATGGTTTGGTGTGGTATATGGGAACAACGACAGTGGGTCCATTCTTCATCAATGGAAACCTCAAGGCCTCTGGATATTTGAAATTGCTACATGATGATGTGTTTCCCTCTTTATGCACTGAAGCTGGCACGTTCCCTGAGTTTTTCCAAGATGGTGCACCACCACATTATGGGTGCCAGGTCCGAGCATTCCTAGATGATCAGTTTCCTGGAAAGTGGATTGGTGATTGTGGGCCAGTTGAATGGTCCCCAAGGTCTCCCGATCTGACCCCCTTAGACTTTTATCTTTGGGGTCATCTAAAGGCAATTGTCTATGATGTGAAGATACGAGATGTGCAGCACCTGAAACTACGGATACTGGACGCCTGTGCTGGCATTTCTCCTGCGGTGTTGCTATCAGTGTGTGAAGAGTGGGAGAAGATGGTTGCATTGACAATCCAACACAATGGCTGCACATTGAACACATTTTATAAGTGGTCAGAAACTTGTAAATAACTCATGACAGAATAAAGTTACGTTGAAACCAAGCACACCATTGTTTTTCTTGTGACATTACCAATAAGTCTGATGTGTCACATGGTCCTCTTCCTATTGAAAAACAAAAGTTGTATCCAAGATGGCCGACTTCTACATGGCCACCATGGTCACCGCCCATCTGGAGGAGTTTGCCCCCTCACATATACAGGGAGTGCAGAATTATTAGGCAAATGAGTATTTTGTCCACATCATCCTCTTCATGCATGTTGTCTTACTCCAAGCTGTATAGGCTTGAAAGCCTACTACCAATTAAGAATATTAGGCGATGTGCATCTCTGTAATGAGAAGGGGTGTGGTCTAATGACATCAACACCCTATATCAGGTGTGCATAATTATTAGGCAACATCCTTTCCTTTGGCAAAATGGGTCAGAAGAAGGACTTGACAGGCTCAGAAAAGTCAAAAATAGTGAGATATCTTGCAGAGGGATGCAGCAGTCTCAAAATTGCAAAGCTTCTGAAGCGTGATCATCGAACAATCAAGCGTTTCATTCAAAATAGTCAACAGGGTCGCAAGAAGCGTGTGGAAAAACCAAGGCGCAAAATAACTGCCCATGAACTGAGAAAAGTCAAGCGTGCAGCTGCCAAGATGCCACTTGCCACCAGTTTGGCCATATTTCAGAGCTGCAACATCACTGGAGTGCCCAAAAGCACAAGGTGTGCAATACTCAGAGACATGGCCGAGGTAAGAAAGGCTGAAAGACGACCACCACTGAACAAGACACACAAGCTGAAACGTCAAGACTGGGCCAAGAAATATCTCAAGACTGGTTTTTCTAAGGTTTTATGGACTGATGAAATGAGAGTGAGTCTTGATGGGCCAGATGGATGGGCCCGTGGCTGGATTGGTAAAGGGCAGAGAGCTCCAGTCCCACTCAGACGCCAGCAAGGTGGAGGTGGAGTACTGGTTTGGGCTGGTATCATCAAAGATGAGCTTGTGGGGCCTTTTCGGGTTGAGGATGGAGTCAAGCTCAACTCCCAGTCCTACTGCCAGTTTCTGGAAGACACCTTCTTCAAGCAGTGGTACAGGAAGAAGTCTGCATCCTTCAAGAAAAACATGATTTTCATGCAGGACAATGCTCCATCACACGCGTCCAAGTACTCCACAGCGTGGCTGCAAGAAAGGGTATAAAAGAAGAAAAACTAATGACATGGCCACCTTGTTCACCTGATCTGAACCCCATTGAGAACCTGTGGTCCATCATCAAATGTGAGATTTACAAGGAGGGAAAACAGTACACCTCTCTGAACAGTGTCTGGGAGGCTGTGGTTGCTGCTGCACGCAATGTTGATGGTGAACAGATCAAAACACTGACAGAATCCATGGATGGCAGGCTTTTGAGTGTCCTTGCAAAGAAAGGTGGCTATATTGGTCGCTGATTTGTTTTGTTTTTGTTTTTGAATGTCAGAAATGTATATTTGTGAATGTGGAGATGTTATATTGGTTTCACTGGTAAAAATAAATAATTGAAATGGGTATATATTTGTTTGTTGTTAAGTTGCCTAATAATTATGCACAGTAAGAGTCACCTGCACACACAGATATCCCCCTAAAATAGCTCAAACTAAAAACAAACTAAAAACTACTTCCAGAAACATTCAGCTTTGATATTAATGAGTTTTTTGGGTTCATTGAGAACATGGTTGTTGTTCAATAATAACATTATTCCTCAGAAATACAACTTGCCTAATAATTCTGCACTCCCTGTACTAATGTGCCACAAACAGGACTTTAATATCACCAACCATTCACATGTTATTACGGTGGATCCATACAAACGGCCCACCCTGTAGAGTCAAACGTGAGGTCGATGGATAAAGCGTGGCCCCAGTTGGCTCGTGCATGACAAAAATGTGAGAGACCAACAAAATCATTCAGAAAACAATTGCTTTAAGTCGTTGGCATAAATCTGGTGCTTCAGTTTATTGAATTACAAGATGTTTTTAAAATCTTACAGAACTGCTAACAGCCACGTTAATATTTCTTTACATGAGTTTAGCAGACAGACAGCCGCTGATCCCCGTCTGTCTGGTCACGTAGTGTCAAGAACCTGAACGAGCTCCCGGTGTTTAAACCCTCGAGGGGGTCGACCGCTTCCTATTTAAACACCTGGGACTGAAGAAGCCTCTTGAACGAGAGCTTTAACAACCTAACAAACTTAAAGAAGCCCACTCATCTTCTTTTCGAGCTCTGCATGATGTACAGTCTGTACTGGTGTTGTGATTGATATGGAAACGTTTGCTCAGCCTTTTTGAAATGTTCTTCTGTTACTGGCACAAAATGTGGTGAAGACATAAAATAAGGACCTGCTATTACAAAGGAAGTACTCCACAGTGTGCTACTCCAGAGGTTATTAAGCAAACTAAAGTGAAACATCTTAATGCAAATCTAGGCACTCGTCTCTTCTCCATTTCCCCCACCTTTTCTGATCATTTCTTCTTCCCGTCCTTCAAACCGGCTGTTCCTGGATGCTCCGTCAGTAAGAGCTTTAGCTCGGATTTTTATGGAAAAGGATCCTGAAAAGCTTAGTTTGGATCCTGGAGTGAAAATTCATATTTTTTACGCTCCACTCACTGGCATGACGGGTGTCATGGAAGATTAGATATGATGAGGAGGAACA